TTTTTACACAGTTCTTCCGTATTTTCTGTCCCCTGTCAATTCCCCCTTTCCTGCATCGATGGAAGTTTTATTTTTCCCCTCCCTTTGTGTTAAGCGTTGATGTGATTGCCCTTCCCTTGCTCGTTGCAAACACAGGTGGCTGCAGGATTGATGTCTGTGTTTGCCAGTACAGCACTGAATATAGATTTGTGGCTGAATCCTGTAGCTGGAGCCACAGGGTGAATCCTTACCTCCATCTGCATGGAGTTGTACTGACACTGGAGTGCAAGGCTGGCACGTTGCCCTGAAAGAATAGAAAAGCTTCTTTTAATAAACCTGTGTAGTACAGTGGTTAAACTGGTGAACCTGAATACAGACTGGAAATGACAACGTTTTGCCCGTGCACAGAGAATGCTACAGGGTGCTCTGTAGGATTGAGTGGAGCGTTTCCCTTTTAGCAAGTATGGAAATGAAATAGATTCTAATGAGGAATCTAGGAAGAAACAAGATGTGAGTGAGTACTGGAAATGTTTCCTTATTATGGGAATATCACCAACAGCAATCTGCTCCTGCTGTCAGAAGTGTCAAATTTGAGCGTACAAAGGGAACTGTAGTTACATGATGCTGTCTCAGTGTTACTTTGATCAAAGAGTTGTTTTGCATTATTAAAATATTGAGTAATGAAGAATGAGGGCTCTGTTTGATTCAGGGACCTTCCTTTAGATTAAGAGGAGTTGTTAATGAGATCCTATCCCTATGAGCACTTGTAGGTGTCTTTTTTTTTTTCTTTTTTGTTTAACCCTCAAGAAACTATGGCAAGCTTGTTAGAAAGATGTGTTGCCTTAACCAAGCACCTCTCAAAACCCGTGGGTCACCGTTAATAGTGCTCAGCTCACTGAAGCTGTAGATAATAAACATTTTAAGCTGACACTGCCACTGAAAGAAGCAGCCCCACTCTCCCCCTGTCCTTGGGTTTTCGCTTCTGCCCTTGTGTCCATGCATGTGCTATTCCTGGTGAGCTGGATGAAGAGGTTAAATTAAGTGGGCTGGGAAGAGTACCTTTCTTTATGTTTTATGGTGTATTATTTTCTGTTTGAATCGTTTCCCCCATCTGGTTCATCACATAGGGATGCAAATGCTTTTGCATGGGAAAGGAGGACAGAGCAGGGGCAGGAATCAACAGGCAGAGGGTGGATTTGCTATTTTTGGCACCACGGCTGACATCTGCCTGCTAAAGTGATTGCCAAACTTTAGCAATTGTCCTTTCCATTTGCTATAGAGGCCGCTTCCTGCAACATGCAGAACTGTTAGTTAAATACTGGTACTTTTGAAAGCTTTTATTGTTCTGTGAAATTGAATTATAGCCATTAAAAACTACGAAACTGAAAGTTTATATTGTATTACAATCTGTGTTCTAGAGTTCCGGTATCTTTACATTGCTATCAATGTATGGGTTTATTTCCATCAGTACATCAGTAACTATGTCTGTTGAATGTAGGTGCAGCAGCAAGAGGAGGAGGAGAAACCACTGACTTCATCAAATCCAGTGCTGGAACTGGAACTGGCAGAAGAAAAGTTGCCAATGACCCTTTCCAGGCAGGAGGTAAAATCAATCGTCGTGAACAGACTACTTGAGCTTACAGCAAACGCGTCTGAAACGTCTGGTTAGGGCTGCTTTTTCTAGAGAAGTGTACTTTTTGTGGCAGTTTGTATAGAATAATAAGCCTCCATTTTTACAGTCAAGAACGATTGTCTTTGCTCATCAAGGATCTGCTGTCCAGCTGAATGCATAGGGAGGCACAGGTGGGCAGAGCCTCTTTGTCACACGGATTTGCACAGACGAGCTATAACATTTTACAGCTCTTTCAGATGGATTCTAGAGTAGTACCCTGAATATCAGTGTTGTCCTTGGATAATACTGAAGGCATGCTGGATTTTCCCAAGGTTTTCCCCCTGTTTCTTTTCTTTGTAGCTCGTTGGTTTGAACCTAAATTTGGAAACAGAGTTTTGGATGTTCACCTTGATTTCTAGAAGAAAAAGTCCTGAAGCCAGGGCAGCTGGTGTGCTCTTTGTCCTTTCTAAGAATAAGAATACCTACGTGAATGTGAGTTCACAAACAGATCTATGCCCCGAAGCAGGAGGTTCGGAAGTACAGAATAAATTCTAATCTCGGAAATACTGCAATTCACAGCTGAGATCATCCAAGACTGTCACACGTCCCCTTAATTTTGCAGGATACTTACTGTTTTTCACAGGAGGGTATCACAGGGCTTGTAATGGGGGCTGTTGGTTTCGTGCTTGGTTTGAGGTTTGGTCTGTATGTGCTGTGTAAGGCACACATCTCACCGCTGTGGGTCTGTTGGGGTGCGCGTTTTGGTCGAGGTTGAGGCGTTGCTGTGCCAGCACTCTGTCCAGCCTGGTTTTGTGGCACATTTGCAGGTCAAATGCTTGCCAGCATACAGCAAGGCACTTGAACTGAATGAATGAATGAATGTCTCAATTCATTTAGTTCCTTGTTGTCCAGCCAGTCTGTTGGTGTAGTGAAATGGTGGCATGGAATGAAGTGTAAGCCTTTCTCTTGACCACCAAAGCGTTGCGTGGTTATTCATATAGCCCTAAGCCCATTGCTTGGTGCATGAAATGAATAATGGTAAGTATAAAGAGATTTAGAAGCAATGCATGAGGTAAGGAATTGGGAGAATAAAGTTCAGTTTTTGGCTCTGCCTGTGACTTGGCAAATCAGCCGAGGGAAGATGTTACACTTCTGTTGTATCTAGTTCTAAAGTAACTGTCATGTTAGATTATGGGACTTAATATTTGCCAAATGCTTAAGGATGAGAATTTTTAGCAAATCAGTCTTGCAGATGTGCTGGAACAACCTGCAGCCTAGCGAGGGAGTGTTTTTATTGCCGTGGACAAGTGGGTGAGTGAGAGTATAGTCAAGTTCATTTGTGATTTTGAAAACAGTTTTTAAGCTCTGCAAGAGGGATGATTTTTGTGTTTTGTTTAAACAAGTCAGAGCAGGAAGAAGTTGGGCTATACCAAACGGCTTGGGGTATTTTGCAATGTTTAGGTTGGTAATACTTGGAATGACCTTTCACTGAAATACCGTGGGAATTTTATATTTAGGTTGTGAAGTGTCTGGAACATTTTTCTACTGCTTAAAATACTGCCGTTTCCTCTCCAGTCCAGCTCAGCTTGTTATTCTAAGCAAAGCAAATAAATCCGTCGTTCTGGACTTTATTTTGCTTCCTTTAGGGGTTTGTGTAAGGGAGTGCTTTGCTTCTTTTCAGGTTATCAGGAGGTTACGAGAGCGAGGTGAACCGATCAGGCTCTTTGGAGAGACAGATTATGATGCATTTCAACGCCTGAGGAAGATAGAAATTCTGGCCCCTGAAGTGAACAAGGTAAGACTGGCTAGCTGTTAATTACTCCTCTGCGGGGGGGTAACCAGTGAGGAACGCTGTAGAAGTTACCGAAAATCAGTTTCAGTAACTGTTAATTTTCAGGAGGGAAGGATAGTGCAGAGCAAAGAGAAATATCTGCTCCGCCTCATTTATTGCCTCAGAAACTATGTTAAATGTCATCGTTTTGGACACAATTAACATTCCTTACGCTAGACAGTTCAACCCTAGAAACCTTCTAGGCCCTTTTCAGTTGAAAAAGGGGCCTCCAGGTGTCAGAGGTACCCCAGCTTGTGCCGTTACCCGCTTTAACCAGCAGGAAAGACAGTCCTTTACTGTTAAAACTAGCCCGTGTTTGCATTTGTGTGTGTCTCTGAGGAGGTGCAGGTAAGGCAGAGGAGGACTGGATCCTCTCTTTCTGCTGTGTAAATGATTTTTCAGATCCCTGGATTCCAGAGCTGTAACTTGTTATGGAAACTTTGTTTTTCCCCTCCCTTCCCTTTAAGGTAGCCGTCAAGTCAAAAAGTGACTAAAAGCTGTATCATAGTGAAGTGATTTATTCTTTTTGTCCTAAGAATTGGTCAGTTAAGTGAGGAGATGCGATTGGGGTTTGTTTTGCATTCACTGTTAACCAAATTTGCAACCCAGCTAAGAGAGCGACAATTTGGATTTTCTTCCCTAATTTGTGGCAAACTGAATTGTTTGAAACTTCTTTGCTGGGGCTGCCCAGAAAAGGAAAGCCTTTTCCTGGTCAAGGCTTTTGAAAAAAAAGATAAACAGATCTAAACATTTGAAAGAAAGAAACTCTGCTAATGAAGGCTTCCCCTCCAGTGACTTCGATGGCAGTAGTAGGAGTATTAGGAAATAGTGAGCTCAGAAATAGGATTGTGTTGGATTTTTATGTTGTGTGTTTCAGTCACTCTTGTCACTACGTGTTGCTTAAAGTGTAGACAGTCACTGTAACCCGTTTGTGGTTCAGACGTTTTTAGACCTCTGAATGATTAATAGAAACGTTCCAGACAGTCAAGTATGATGATGGAAGAGGGGAAATAACTGTGCATATCTATTCCCTGTGGAGTAGCTGAATTTATCTTAGGGTAAGAAATGTCATAGTCCTTTGTAGAGCTTTATATTTGATGTCTCAAGATAAGAATGCAAGTCCTCTAACTGTGTCTGAGCTGAGTTTCTTGTTCAATTTAAAAGCAGCTCTTTATATATACGGTTTCAAACTGATTCTAATTTTTCTTTTTAATCCCCTATTCTAGAGTAGGGCATTTTCAACACTTAATCTACATAAAGCATTCTGCTGTGTTTCAATCATGGGTAATAAAGGGAGGCTACATAAATGTTTCGTGTGATCGTACTGCAGGAGTGTTACTTACCTTACTTACAGCTTTTCTCAGGGCAGATGTGAAGACTTGTAGAGCTGATGACGGTTATGGTCTGTTACCTGTTTGTTTGGGGGTGGTTCAGTGCATTGCTTGGAGAAAATGTCTTGAAGAAAGTCCTAGAAGTAAGTTGATTCAGTCCTCCCTGCTTTTCTGGTGAAAATGTGGTAAAAAGTCTTTTTCATAGGTACGAACGTTGCAGAAGTTCATGCACCTGCTTTTTGTTAAGTGCTGAAGCAATCCAGAAGCTGCTCTTGGAGTTCAGTTTAAATTTGGACAACAAAGCATGTTAGCCATGTTTTCACAGAATTTGGCTTTTCTTAAAGCAGAAGTTGGATGCTCACAGTGAACTGCTTTTATTTTTCTTGATTTTTTTAATTTATTTTTTTTTTGTAAAATAGTCATTTTGTATCTTTCCTAGGGCCTGAGAAATGACCTGAAGGCTGCTTTGGATAAGATTGACCAGCAGTATCTGAACGAAATTGTAGGCGGCCAAGAAGCAGGAGATGATGACTCACAGAATGACTTGAAAGTCCATGAGGAGAATACGACTATTGAAGAACTAGAAGTGTGTGATGGGTAGATTTTAATTCAGGGGTTTTAGATGTAGAATGTTGTTGTGAGAAAGCTTCAGGATGGTTTAGACAAAGTTATGGAATCATTAGGTTGGAATGGACCTCTGCGATCATAGAGTCCAACTGTTGGCCTAATACCACCAGGCCCACTAAACCATGTCACAAAGTGCCACATCTACACGTTTTTTGAACATCTCCAGGGATGGTGACTCCACCACTCCCCTGGGCAGCCTGTTCCAATGTTTGGCCACTCTCGAGAAGAAATTTTTCCTAATGTCCAATCTAAACCTCCCCTGGTGCGACTTGAGGACATTTCCTCTCATCCTATCACTTGTTACTTGGGAGAAGAGACCAACCCCCACCTCACTACAACCTCCTCTCAGGCAGTTGCAGAGAGCAATAAGGTCTCCCCTCAGCCTCCTCTTCTCCAGGCTGAACAGCCCCAGTTCCCTCAGCTGCTCCTCACCAGACCTGTTCTCCAGACCCTTCACCAGCTTCGTTGCCCTTCTCTGGACACGCTCCAGCACCTCAGTGTCCTTCTTGCAGTGAGAGGCACACAGTATCTTGTTTTCAGTATCTAACGTAGGCATTCTGAAGTAACCTTAAATACACTCTGTTAGGAAATCTAGGTTTCTAAGCTGTGAGTTCCACCACAGGTGCCTACAGGAGACACATGAAACTCAAGGGGTCTTTGTTTACACCACCTCACCAAAAGGGGGGCAGGTGTTGCCTGCAAGGAAAGTGATGGAGTTAGTCTTCCCTCTGCGGGGGGCTGGCAAGTAGAGAACTTGGTAAAAACACATAACCTGGTCATAAATGCCAAGCCTTTCCAATGAGTATTTGAGAGGGTAATAAGCTTCGTACCGATGAATTTTCCTTGTACAAGAAAGGTGGACTCTGAAAAACAGGCACACGGAAAGAATGTTTGAGATAAACCATCCAGGACAGAAGAAAGAAGTGAACATCAGAAGTAGGCACATCGCAGGGAATACAAGAAGTGCAGGGATGATCTGTCCCAGAAACTTTGGTGCAAATGGCTGCTGTGTTCTGAAAGAATCCCCTGGTGTTTGTGAGCGAGCGGAGAGAGAGTGCCACGAAGTGCGTTCAGCAGCTGGTATTTTAGGGCAATGTTTTGTAAAGCCCATTAACTTGAGCTGGAGACTTTTATCCTTAATCTTCAAAACTCTTTGCAGGAGTTAATCTTCATAACATCCCTCCAGAAGTGTGTTTAAGAAATAACCTGATTTATTAACTGAAAGCTTAAATGAATATGTTATTATTAGGAGATAGTCTTTGGATTTTTTGTTAGGGTACCAGGGGTTCTGGTTTAAAATAACTGTAGTGCCAGAATGGATGCCAGTTGTAATGGGGCTGTGTTTTATTGCTCTGTTAATTCTCAAAATATTCCCTTTTTGGGGTCGTAGGGAACGCTTGGTTTGAGCCATGAAAGTAATCTTTTTCTGAAAAGTTTGAAAACACTCCAGTCTTAATTTTATGCTACTTTAACTGCATTCCCTTGAGCATAAAGGCTTACACTGAATTGGGTTCCAAATCTAGGAGATTTTAAAAATAAAACTCACTTTGGAAATGTGACGACAATGAAAACAGATTATAAATCCAACTGTACCTGCTGGAAAACATTTCTAAAAATAGTATTCACAGTTTTGGGGTTTTGGCAGGAAGCTCGTATTGGAGCACGCTACTGGGGTTTTTAGATTTGTTCCCTCAATTTCACGGTTACAATCAAGTGAAATGGTAAAAAGCCCCAGTGTGTCAGAGAATTAAAATATCTTAACAAAATAATTAGGTTAATTGATGGCTTTGGTGATCTCAAAAAACGCAGCGCACCCACAGTTCCTCTTAATACAGTGCTGTCAGGCAGCTGCTAATTCTGCCCAATAACTTAACAGTTAATGAACAAAAAATTACCGTTGCATGGACTTTTCAGAAATAATCGTATTGGCTTTTTGACTTGAATGTTTTTAATAGATTAATGAATCTCAGCAGCATATATAGCTGTTTGATTCTGTTCCCTAGCTAGTGTTTTGGATTACTGGTGGAGTTTATTGCAGTTCGTGATGCAGTGAATCGTGCTCTGCTGTGGTGGTGGCGGCAAACTTCGAGGCACCGTGGGAATAACTGCCTTTGCTCTCCTGTTGTAGGCTTTGGGAGAATCCTTAGGACGGGGTGATGATCACTACGATATGGACATTATAACGAAGTTCTTGAAGGTAACAAACTCCTCACAGATCAATTATTCTGTAGGTGTGTTGTATTTTTGACTATGGTGCAGATGCCTTTCCTGATTAGAAGCTGCTTGGAGAGAAAAACTTGCCCATTATGCCTAAGAAGTGTTTTTTTTAAAGGCTCGGCACTCCGCAGCCTCGGTTAGTCACAGTAATGACTCCTGCTGGACCTGGGAGAGAGCTGTCGAGAGGGCAGCGTTCCTCAAAATCTGGTCCTGCTTTTCCAGACAAAATAAATACGGTTTTGATTTCCATGAGGCAGCTGAATGTCATGGCTTCTGTGTACCACCGTGGCGTTAAACGCTCCCGAGGAGTCCCTGCCTCCCTTCCCCAGGAACGGTGCAAGCTGAGATGAAATGTCACCTGTTAGGTGACAGAAGAGGATTTTAAAGGAAATCCACTGGCTTTGCTAAGGAAGCAGGTTCAAGTGGATTGTAGAAAGTTGTTTCCTCAGTTCCTGGCAAGAAGCCTGTATTGCCTCTTGTTTGAGTCAGCCAGTCCCTGTGTAACTGTTGGGGTGATCAGAAGTCACAGCAAGAGTTGGAGCTTTTACTTGTGTCCATAAGATACATCAGCATTTTAATAGAGTTTGGGCTGGGTGGTCAGACCAAGAAAGCTCAAAAATTGTTTTCCAGGTGGAGAGAAGGTGCGTTTGACACATGTGCCTTCTGGTGTGTTGAATTTTCACTGTGATCTTCATCGTTCCTTGGGCTCCTTTGCAAAACCGGCCCTGAAACATCAGTGCCTTCTACTTAGATTTCTGCTCTTTCGTGTCCCCCTCCTCCCTCCCAGCACTGACACCTACACCGTTTTTCCCATGGTTTTTTTTGTACGTGCCTTTCTATACGTCCTCCTCCCTCACCCACACGTTCTTGTGATAGGAACGTTGTTCCTGTCCTTCTGAAAGAGGCTTCTTGCCGCCTTAATTCAGATTTCTCCAAAAATCTTACTTTGCGCCTTCGTGGCCTCCAGCGCGGTTCCCGCTCGGTTTGCCGAGGACGTCACTAGGTGGCACTACGGCCTAAATTTTCTTGTTCCTCCTGCAGTTTCTTCTCGGAGTTTGGGCCAAGGAGCTGAACGCCAGAGAAGACTACGTGAAACGGGGAGTACAGGGGAAGCTGAATAGCGCCACTCAAAAGCAGACAGAGTCGTACCTGAGGCCGCTCTTCAGAAAACTTCGGAAAAGGGTGAATCGCTTTTAAATGCTGCTGTGATGTCCTGTATGACTTAAACTTCTGCTTTCAGAGTACCCAGTGGTTACTGCCCCTTCCTGAGGTAATGTTAGCTTCACTGGAGAAGAGAGTGTGAGCGAGCTGGTCAGAGTTTCTGTGCCTAGAGCCCCTGACTCCCAGTTCTGGCCTTTTTCCCTCGATCAGTGAGTTCTGTTGCCTACCCGCTGCCTTTCCAGGTGTCGCTTTATGTGTCACCTGGTCACGGGGTTGCAGACGCGATAGAGGAGTGGGGCTGGATTTTGCGCTGCTGCAAGCTACGAGGTGTAACCACGTAACCTCTCTTGCTTCAGATCCTTCGTCTAAACAAAGATGTTTTCCTTTGTTAAAGTCCTCGAGCTAGAGTAGGTGCTAAACTTTGTAGAAATGCTGAGGAGGATGATTTTCCTGAGCTGCTGTTTTAAGTAAATGTGTCTTCTTTTTTGTTTTTCCCTTCTCCTCCTGTAGACACTTCCTGCAGACATCAAAGAATCAATAACAGATATTATTAAGTTCATGTTGCAAAGAGAATATGTGAAGGTATGTTTGC